TAATATTACCAACGCGTGTTTATTTCTAATGTAACTAAGTCAACGATGTCGACTAATTAGTTACTCTAATTTCCCCCTTTTTACAATTTACAACCGCCAACCTCTAACTTAACCAGCCCCCCTTCTAACCTCCCCCCTTTTTAGCCCCCCTTCTTAAGCCTAAAATTACCTTAAGCGCCGGGTGCTAAACCTCTCAAGAGAAAACCGTAGACCTGTCTCCAGGCCTGCTCAAGTAAAAACGTTCCTCAAAACCGGGGGATGTCGCTTATCCTATTTTACACTTATCTCCTATAATGTAATGTGGATTTTAACGATACCCGTTCTGCCCAACTTGAGAACTCGAGAATTGCCAAATCCTTCTTGGCTGCTTTCCCACTCGACTGGTCACCTGTTCCAGTCCAGTCTCCTATTGGTTCAGCTCAAGTGTCCCTGAACCACTTTCCCACTCGGCTGGTCACCTCTTCCAGTCAAGTCTCCTATTGGTTCAGCTCAAGTGTCCCTGAACCACTTTCCCACTCGGCTGGTCACCTCTTCCAGTGAAGTCTCCTATTGGTCCAGCTAAGTTCCAAGCTATCTGAAAACCCTTGACAACGCCCCACACTCGGGCACTTTATTCAGTTTACTGGTTTAAATTGCTAGGTTGATCGAAACGATCGAACTTGTAAAACAGTATGGGTATACTATTTAATTAATATAAAGGTTTGATCCAACTAATCTGGTGTCAAAGTCACTGTCTTTTTTCGTTTTATGGTTTTTGTTCCTTTTTCTATTCTTTTTTGGTTTTTGTGTTGCTTTTTGTCTTTTTGCTCGTGTTTTTGTCCCCCTAGTTGCCCCCCTTTACTCGGTTAGCTAAGCCTCGTTCGGAGAGCGTACCAGGAAGTTTTCTTGAGTTTTCTTAAAAAGCTATCACGGTACAACCGGAAGGTTTGCACGTTCCTGTCGAACCGTACCGCCGGTACTCTAGAATGGGCATTCAGCCCGAAGCTGTCTCAAGTGGGTTCGACTCCGTAGTCTTGATGTCGTAAACACCCAGGAGCGCCATAAAAACACTATGTAACATTCGTCTACTGCAGTCACACATGAGGCTTAAGAAAAATAGGCCCTATAACCACTGGCTCAAGGGTCAGGGACACCATCTCTTGTGTTTTTCTACCTCAAGAACGGTCGGAGCCAGTTCGGTTCGTTTGTGACATGAGACTACGACCCGTTACAGCTTAAAGGCTACTACTAAAATATCCCCCACTCTAGAATTAGAAACGTCCCCATACTTAGGTCTCTAGATACCCAAAATACATGAACGCCGTTAAAAACCGGGTTGGAACAATCCGTTAAGTTACTTTTTATTAGACAGTGGAACTTTGATCCATTTCAGATGGATCAACCTAAAACTCGCCTTACCTCAACATAACAATTATAAAACACACTCTAGGAATTTAAATTAAGTACTCACATCGTAGCACGCTCAAGAAAGGAAAGTACTTCAGTCGGTAATTAACTCAAGAATTAACTAAGATAACTAGATGAGTTCAATGTTTATCAGTTTTAATGGCAGAGATAAGTTTGAACTCTAGAATGTTGTTTCTCGTGAACCATTGGGACACTCAAGCTGTCCACCTTTCCACCGAAGGTTCACTCTAGTCCAGTTCAAATAATAATCCAATCGAGTAATGACAATCCAGTTCTCGGGAATACGCTTGTCTCTGTTTCAGATGGGACAGCTCTACTCTTGTTCTATTGTGACAGAAATTGCGAATAGCAATTTCCCACCGTTTTATTTAGCAACTTTCCCGCGATTGTTACTCGATTGTTCTGACTTCTCTTGATCTGATTTTCAGTTATCGCGAGAAAATCGTGCATGACAGGTTCCATTCGAAATTTTGAAAAACTAAATTTCACTCCAAAATCAAGTGTTTTTTTTTCTTCTCTCAAGGTCAAACTTCCGAACATGACCGACTGGCACAGAACAAAAGAAGTGAGGGGGAAGCTGTTTGGTCCATCTTCCTTTGTTGAATAGGATGCACTCACTCCGGCAGAATGGTTAGCGTTTGAGGGGATTCGAACCCGGTCGACCGGTAGTTACAACGTTTTCATATACGTTAAGCTATATTTACGTATATTTACGTTCGCAATTTGATAATATGCATTTTACTTTTGCTCTGCAACAACAATATCAAACTTGCCTGAAAAAAAGAGTTACTGAGAACTTGGTGTCGACAACAATCTGCATGCTAAACTTGTTAAAGAGGCTGAAAACCCTCAATAGTTCTAAGTGAACCGGCCCTGATAAGATTCATCCAATAGTGCTACTCGAAAGCGCATATCTTATTGCGTAACCGAGTCATACGATCATCGCGAAATCTCTAGAATCTGGCGTGCTGCAAGAGGACTGCAAAAAGGCCTGTATCACAACTTTATTTACAAAGATAACATGAGCCAAGCAGAAAACTCTACCGACCGGTGAGCCTAACAAGGATTCTTTATAATTTCTCGGATAGTCGGATTCGAGACACTATAGTCTATAATTTGCAGAAAACAGAAAAATGGAGGGAAGTTGTATCGACTGCATCTACATAATTTTCAGGAAGGCTTTCGATATGGTTCACTACCGAAAATTGTTAGCAAAGATTTGGAACTACGGTGTTCGAGGCAAACTGCATAAATGGGTTTAAGCATTCCTGTCAGGAAGGACCCAATGTGTCGTTGTAAACAATGGGAGTTACAACCAGCCCATATGACCAGTGGAATTCCTCAAGGCAGTGTGTTAGGGTTAATTTTGTTCGTCATATTTATAAATGACCTGCCAGACTTGATAACAAGCACACTTTGGATGTTTGCTGTTGACAAAAAGTATACCTCATAATGGATTCTCAAGATGATCAAAAACGTTTTCAAGATGATAAAGAATCAATGGTGGCCAGGAGCGAAAACTGGCAAATTCCATTTCCCCCAGACAAAACCAGAGTAATGCATATGGGCAAACCCTTATCAAGCAGGCCGAAAACAGATTGGGATCGGACATATCACCCCCACAATCGTAGTGGCTAAATCCGAAAAGGATCTGGGAGTGATCTTTGATTGCGATCTCAAGTTCAATAGTCACATTGCTGAGAAAATGAAGAAAGCCAATCGTATCCTGGGACTCATTCGTAGGATATTTGAATATCTGGATGCAAGCATGTTGCGATTGCTGTTCAGCTTTGTTATAAGATCTTATTTGGATTCTGTTTCTTCAATCACGAACCCTCGACATATAAAGCTATCAACAAGGATAGAAAATTTTCAGTGGCGCGCAACGCACTTGGTGGAAAAGAGTAGGAATGAGACATTTTATTAAGGACTACATGAACTAGACCTTCCTTCATTTGCGTTTACGAGACTGCGAATAAACATGATCGAGGTGTTCAAAAATCTGCATCCAACATCAAGATAGGACAATCGGGTCTCCAACTCGTTGCTGAGCAAATGTCAGTACGAAGCAACACGCGGACATCTAGCAATGCTCACGAACCAGCATTTCTATCTGAATCGTCGCAGTTTTGCTCTCAACGAATAGTTCAAGCATGGAATGAGGTTCCAACCAAAATTTTGATAGCAGACATTGTCAACGCCTTCAAGGCATGCATAGATTCTACCTGTACGCAGCATCCGTCAAACTTTAATAGTGTAACATTCGTTCATACATTACACAGTGACAGATCGTAGATAAAGTACCTATTGACGACTGGCTGACGACGTCATTTACCTTAATTCTATTCGTTTTTAACCGTCTAGACCTAGCCAGTTATTTTTCTGGTCTGTTAGGGGCTAAGTAAAAAGTTACAATTTTTAGGCAGTCAGCCAACTGACTTTTGATCAGCTTTCGTTTACATGCGAAAATAACCACATAGCTGGGTCTCGGATCCTCAGACTACGTGATTACTATTAAAAACACGGCATGAAAACTATATATTACTATGTTTTTACTGAAAGTTTTATAGTAAATCCATTGAAGATGGATTGACTCTTTCCTCTTTTCTAACTACTCATGCTCTGAAATACTAAACAATATTGGAGTTAATTAAATCGTTCAGGGCATTACAGTAGCTGAAATACGTATCCAAAGTCTCTAACAGTTTTTGGGCACCGGGCCGCCAATTCCGTGTTCCCCAGGTATAACATCGTGGCACGGGAGGGTACGGATCCGCTCCGGATGTCCCACTGGCCCTTCCTTCTATCTAATCTCGTTCAGTTAAGTGTCTTATCTTGTGGTGTTTTTACGATAAAAGGCTTCTTTTTACTCTTGTTTTCCCTCGACTGTTTTTCGTCTCGTAAACCCGGCTGTCTCTTTCTCTTATACTTTTCGGACAAAATGGCTGTTTTTTACATTTCTCAGAAAAATTCTAGCTCCAATCGAAATTTTGTAAATTTTTTTTCTAGAATATTCCGAGCGGGTTCGACTGTGCCAATCCGGGGGAATGGCACATAGTGACTTCAGATCATAGTTTCATGATAGTATTGGGCTCCCAGTACCTCGGAAGTTCGGTTTCTGTTGGTGCAGGAAATTATGCCCAAATATAATTGAAAACTACCACACGCATTGAAAGCTATCACATGTGCGAGGTTTGAAATATCTATCGTACATACAAAACGCCATAGGAAACATCAAACGGAAGTATCAACATGTAAAATTTCAGCAGCATTCTGCAAACCCGTTTAACATCGCTACCATGGACTAGTTTGAACGCCACAGGATCTTCTTTTACAGTTTCGGTACCTGTATCTCATTATTCATCTCCTTGTGATTCGGATGTTTCTCAGATATGGATTTAATTCTTGCTTTGAAGAGGGTAGCTTGGACTATTTGTTCTGGTTATAAAAAAAATATTGGAAGAAGTTCAAAGTAATTGTTCTTCGAAATGGAATTTTAGAGCGAGTTTGAACTCGAATTTGCGTTTAGTTTTGTCCTTTAGTGTCGAATAAATAACCAATAATGAACGAAAGAAGCCACTGTAAAGTCTTTCAGAAGAATGTCGCGGAGCTATGATGAAAGATGCCAATTGTACCTTGAATCTACACGAGAAAACAAGTTTCTCAATGGACTTCTCGGTCCTGATTTAAACATAAAACGACAGAAACTGCAGAGTGAAACGTTAGCATTGCTTTCTTCTCATGCTGATGACATTGGGCTGCAAATGCGGATATTGAATCTGTTTTGGTCGAAAGTTTGTTACTCCACTATCACAAACATCAGGAAATGTCGGCGTCAGTTAAAGCATGGAAGTGCTCAAGAAGTAGAATGCAGGAACTTGCTATTTTCGATGTTCTCTTTCTTCCAGAGTTTGTCAGAAGCCCTAGTAAGTAATTTAATACGGTATAATCAAATTATTCAGATAAAATGCTTGGAATGACGCTTTTTCTTTTTGAATAACCAAGGTCATTTTTCGATACTAGTTTACAGTTTTGGTTCCTCAAAAGTAAGCATCTTAATTTCTCTATGTTGATAACACTGCTGGCATAGTTTTTCTGTAGTTAATTATACGCAGAAGAAGAAACAACACTTTAATTACTGTATAAAACTCTTAACATCAATACTATGCATCAAAATCGTACTGCTCCCGTGCGTTAGATTGTTTCTCTGTTGAAAAATTTAAAACCCTCTGACTCAAAAGTCTATCGGAGGTGTCCAGCAAAGACGTATTTTAAGCGTGTTTACGTTTTAGTGCTTTCAAAAATTGTTCAAGAATGGAGTTTCGGCTGGGTGTCATTTAGGTAGTTTGCTAGTCTCAGACATTGGAACTTGTGGCAGCAAAAATAAAATGCAACTGAATTTGAGCAAAACCAATGTCCTTTGCATGAAGCAAACGACAGAGGCCGGCGATAAAAACAGTCAGATAAAAAGTGTAAATGATCAAAAGGATCTGTGAGTCCTGTAACGTGTCTTGCAACGTACCATGGAGCGAAAACTGCAGCAGGCGAACTCTCAAGGGTTAGAGATCTCTGTACGTCTTGATGAGAAACACGTCTAAAAAGCAACCATGGAAACTAAACTCAACGCTTGCATAGGATATGGTGTCCCTGTACTAACATATGCCGCGCAGGTATGGTACCCCTCACAAATCGATATTAAAAAGATCGAAAAAGTTCAGAAAAAAGCGACTTCATGGATATGCAGCAGCTGCACTGACTACAAAGAGAGACTATTTAGTACGAAAATCCTGCCGCTATCCATGTGCATGGAACTGCATGATGTCTTGTACTATATTTCTGTGCTGCAAGGAAACTACGCATCGATAATATACATGCAATATCTAATCGTGGACGTTTAGTACGATTACAAACATTTCTACATGTCCCGATCCCGCTTAAGAAAATGCGACGAAAATTTGTGGATCCGATCGCCCAAACTACTTAACATCGTACAGAGGATTGTAAAAACAGATAGGGTAATCGACAAAATTGCAATCACTAAGCTGTATCAAACTTTTTTACGAGAAAAATTCAACGAGGTTAACTCATGCACATAGCGAGTGCTATGACTTTGTGGAATCTTCAATACCCTGAAAAACTCATTTTTGTGCCAGATGAAAACTGAGGGGTGAAAACCCTTGGACAGTTGTCCTAAGGTCTATACTACTACTACTAGCACTAGAGCTAGCCATCAAGTTAAACCATCCAGTACGCTAGTGCCATGAGGATCTAGTAACTAACGATGACAAACCATGTTGAATGCATAAGGCAAATTAATAGGGGCAAGTCCTGTAGTCGCCGTTGATGACAAAAACTCATCGATGTAAGTTTCGAGGGTTGACAAAGACAAGCCACTAGAGTGGAGAGGACGAAACTCATGCTAAGGTGCAGATTTTGAGAGGCTTTTTGTAAGAATAAAGTGGATTAAAAATAACTATCACAGTGCCTAAATAGTGACACGGGATGGTGCGAGTCCGTTGATTTAACGCCTTTTTTTGGTTTCGGCAACTGGACGTCCTTGATGCGTCTCTTTTTTGGGATTTTTGTTTGACATTGAATACCATTCAAAATTATGAATTAGAAATTTCTGGCTCTTGGCACCAGATCTTTGTTAACCGCACTGAAGTTATCGGAGCTCAAAGCTATTGATAGTTTAGCTGCTCTAACGGCGGCCTCTGCTTCCCGCGAGAGGATTTCCAGTTGATCCTTACAAGTTTGCTACAGTATTTTCTCCTGTACTTTGTTGTGTTTATCGGTCTTTAGTTGCGTATATTGAATATAAAACTTGTCTATGTTTTCTTATCTCTGCGTAAATACTTCCACCGAAACAGAATGAAAAAGATCGGGCCGCAGAGAAGTGTTCCTTTCAAGAAACGACCCGCTTAACAAGCGAAACGAGGCATGGAGGCTAAATGTCCGGAAGGTATCTTTTCCTGTCTTCTCTTTTTTTTCAATCGTTGTATTCATCACGTCGGCGGAGCCCTGCTGTGATGTGATATCGGGCCGCTTTTTACTTCCCAAAGTTTTGATGGTGTGTCAACGTTTAAGATGAATTGGAAAGTTTGCTCCCTATTTTTTCAGTTTTTTTTTTTGCGATAAAGAACGTTTATTATGCTTGCGATTAGCAAGCGTTATCAAACTGGAATATAGTTTTTTTTTCTAGATAACAACTAGTTTAACAAAATCAGGTGGCTCAGCTCGGCTGTTAGCCACAGCCAAAGTCAATTGATAGCAACAGAAAAGAATGCCTGCCAAAATATTTTTTCTGAGCATGTCTGCCTTTAAAATGGCAATTCCATTCGAAATTTTATTGTCGGTTGTTAATCAACTCTTGTTTTTGTTCTCTTTTTTTTCAATTTTTTTTTCACTTTAAGTTTTTTTTCGGCTTAAATGGCTTCAGCGGATGCATATCTGTTTGGTTACCTGTTAATTCGCTGTATGAATCAACAAATTTTGTAAATTGCCTTTGTGCGTATGGAAGGGTAGGTGGGGGACTTAGGATTTTTTTGGCTCAAAACGTTTTATAGCTCAATTTTGATGTTTTATCGGCTCAATAGTCGTCTTCCCAAATTTTGTTTTTTCAGTATCCGCTTAATGAACTTTTTTCATTCATAATGCTTATTTAACACTGGCAGTTGTATTTTTCCTCAATTTTACCTGCATTCCAGACTTTCAATTTTTCAAGTTAATTTTTTTGAATATTTTTTTTCGATGCAGCTTGCGTCGCTTTTTTTTAGGCTAGCTGCCGTGCCATTTTTCGTTGTATCGTTAGTATTGCGAAGCTTGGCTTCGCCTCTGTTTTAAAATTAGTAGATTGTCTGATCCTAATTGAATGAGGTTGCCAAGTTAGCGAACGGTAAGCTGGTCTGATTATTGTCATTTGTCATTTTAAGATGTGAAGTCTGGCAGCATTTTCAGCTCCTAAAAGACATTTTCTACTGTCTTCGAGTATAATTTGGGCTTTAATAGGGATTGAGTTTTTCTCAATGAGGCAGGTTTCTTGAAAAACTGCTATTAGCTTTTCGTACTCGCACACTGGTTGTACTAGTTCGGGTTTCTTTGAACATTTTTTTGCTAATAGGGGTTGATTACAGGTGGCTTTCTTACAGGTAGGAGTATGGAGAGATAGGTTATGATTTCGTTTGTGAGTTTGATTTGTAATAATTTCGGTTATTCGAAGGTTGTTTCTCTGGGAACAAGTGGCAGAGTGAAATTTGGCTGGCGTTTTGTGTGTATGGTTTACTGCGAGGGCCACGATATGTTTGTTTGCGCAAATGGGAGATTGTTCTTTAAGGCTTGCGATCCACTCCAATTTAGGCGGTCTCATCCGAATGTACAACACCAGGTATTTGCTAGAGTGCGTGCATTTTTGAGTTACACTAATGGTTCGTTTAGGAGTCAGCGTTTCGACTGTTTCCGGCACGTAAATGGAGAATAAGAATTAATAGACGGAACAGCCCAGTCAAAGTTCGGCGCTCAGAAATTAATCACCGGTTTTGGTATGCTTTCTGTGCTCCCAAAATTTGGAAGACTGTGATGTTATTTGCGGAAATTTGCTGATCGCCATTTTGCTAACCGTTTCGCGAAGGGAAACTATGGAATAGGGTTGGTTTTCTCCGCGGAAGTTTAGGTACCTTCCGGTAAACTCGAAAGACTAGGTGCGGTGTCATATTGAAGCTCTAATATTTGTTGTGATTCTGTAAATTTGTATTGTTTTCAGTTTGATGTGTTTGGCGGGGTTTTAATACAGTTTATCTTGTTACCTGTTTTACGACATCTTCATGGTAGCAGGGTCTCAAGATGTCCGCTAGAGAGAATACAGAGAACACAGAAGCAGATTCAGTTGCAGTAGGAGGAAGCATCAACTTCAAAACCCCGCCAATATGGAGATCGAATATGAGTTTTGAAGAGTGGAAAGCAGATATCGATGTATGGAACGTGGTCACTGACCTAGATTTGTCAAAAAGAGGACCTGCAGTACGTTTAACACTGACTGGAGCAAAGAAAATTACAGCGTCAAACGTCACAATTGACGACTTAAAATCAAATGATGGGCTCACAATTTTGCTAGAATCTCTAAAACAGGCGTTCGGGAAAGAATCAGCCGACGAACTATTCGCGGACTATGAAAAATTTGAGCGTATAACTCGAGGAAACAGACCTATCATTGAGTATATTACCGAGTTTGACCAAGCGCATTCCAGGCTGAGCAAACACACTTTGAAAGTTCCGGACGGTATTTTAGCATGTAAGCTTTTAGCATGTGCATCGCTTGACGACATGCATAAAAAGCTAGTTTTATCTGCCACGCCTGAGATGACGCTTTTAGCCATGAAGAAAAGTCTGAAAAGGATTTTTTCTTCACATATCAGCACGGAGCGTGAACTGAATGGCAATGCGCCAACTGTGAAAGAAGAGCCGACATATCTAGTAGACGAAACCTCTGCGCTGTGGCCAGGTTCTGGTGGACGAGGCAGAGGTGGAAAACCGTTTTTCAGAGGCCGTTATCCTCAACGAGGACAGAATTTCAGGGGACGAGGCCAACGGGCGTCTGGTACGAATCCTATGAATCGAGAAGGAAGAATTTCCACATGCGCAATTTGCGGATCAAGATATCACTGGGTGCGTTATTGTCCAAACAACGAGAACAAAGAAAATCAGACGTTGCTGACGAACGAGAGTAAAGAAAATTCCGAGGTTTTCCTCAATTTTGTGATGCTAGAAGGGAAAATAGTACACGAAGCTTTTGGCAAAGCAATTTTGGACTCAGGATGCACATCGACAGTGGCAGGAGAAGTATGGCTTGAGAATTACATTTCCAAGCTTTGTGACAGTCAGAAATCGTTGATAACCACGAAAAACGTCCGACGTTCTGTTGTTTTTGGAGGAGAAAAGTCAAAAGTTTTGTATTGTTTCCTTGCCTGTTGTTATCGGAGACATTTCGTGTTTTCTTGACGTCTCCGTCATACCCGGCAATTTACCTCTTTTACTGAGCGAAAAGTCCATGTCGAAAGCAAAATTCATCATTGATTTTGCAAGAAACAAAGTTTTGCTTCCAACGGGTTATGAAATTGCTGTTACGAGAGCTTCGAGTGGACATATGCTGCTAGACATATTGAAACACGAGAAAAATGACTATGTATTCTTCTCTGAGAGTAAATCGCTGAGTGAAGCTGAAATATCAAAGTTACACCGTCAATTCGGTCACTGTTCCGCCGACAAATTATCGTCGCTGGTGCGAAACGCAGGAAACAAAGTATCTGCTTCCATCGAAACAATCGGGAAAATTATAGAGAAATGCGAAATTTGCCGTCAATTTGGAAGGTCGAGTCCGAAACCGGTAACTTGCCTCCCTTTGTCTGTCAGCTGGAATGAGACAATTGCAATGGATTTACACGAAATGGTAGAACTTGGGAAAGGGGTCTGGTATTTACATATTATTGACCTTTTTACCAGGTTCTCTGTAGCTATTTTCATCAAAAATAAACGAGCAGAGACAATTGTGGAGCAGTTTGCTATCAACTGGGGATTGGCTTTCGGATTTCCGAAAAATGTACTATTCGACAATGGAGGAGAGTTCGAGAATGAGATCATGAAATCTATGGGCGAAAATTACGATTTCACCATCAAAACTACAGCAGCTAGATCGCCCTGGTCGAACGGCGTTGTTGAGAGGCATAATGCCGTCATAACAGAAATGTTCCTAAAAATGCGTGCTGATGACCAAGTTAACGCAACTGATGATATGGTGTTGAAATATGCAGTTTTTGCAAAGAATTCTCTGTACAACAAAGATGGGTTTTCTCCTTATCAACTCCTTTTTGGGTCTAATGCAAGATTGCCAAATGTGTTTGGGCACAAGGAACCAGCACTGGAGAATACGACAACAAGTGAAGTAATTTCGCAGCATATTCGACTTCTGAACACATCTCGGAGAGCGTTTCTAGAGTCTGAATCAAGTAATCGCGTGAAGAAAGCTCTTAAATCGAAGATATATGCTGATAAGGATGTCAATTTTGAGTATGGTCAGTCCGTTTACTATAAAATGGACAATGAGAACCGCTGGAGAGGTCCCGGAACTGTAACTGGAATAGATAGATCAGTAATCTTTGTTCGTCATGGCGGATCTTTGAGACGAGTTCATAAATCGAAGCTACGAAGCGCCACTTCTCTGGAAAATTGGACAAGTCAAGAAAGCGGAATGCAACTTTTGCCAAAAACTGACGAAATCCCAGCTTATCAGGGCCAAATTTGCGTTAATCCCGTTGATCAGCGTCAAAGTTGTCAATCCCGTTGTCAAAGTCCGGTTTGACAGACGATGAACAAAGTTTAGAGAGGTTAGAGAACATCAATTTTGATGATTCCGATGATAACCAGGTGATACAGAAGGATTTGAAGTCCAAAACAGACGATTCTGACGTCGCCACTACCAGTTTTAGACCCCACAAGGTGAAAATCGGAGAGAAAGTGAGGTTTATTTCAAATGAACCAGGTTTTGACGGTGAAAATATCGTTGCCACGGTGACTTCTCGCGGAGGGAAAGCGCGCGGGAAAAACAAAGACTGGTGGAATGTAACCTATGACCAACCAGAGTGCATCAGAGGCAAAACTGACTGTGTAGATGTGACTAAACTGCAAGATTTTGACGTTATGACTAGTGAATCTGTGATCCCGATAGGTCCAGTAACTGAGGAGAATGCTGCTGAAGTGTTCATGGCTGTGAGCGACGAGTTTCACGAGCAGAAGAAAGAAGAATTCAAAAGTTGGGCTTCTAACAACGTTTTTGAGAAAGTCGAAGACGCAGGGCAGCTATACCTAAACACGCGATGGGTTTTGACTGACAAAGATGGCCGAAAGAAAGCCAGGTTGGTTGTTAAAGGCTTTGAGGACCCCGAGTATTACAATGTGATAAAGGACTCACCCACGTAATCGAAGGACGCGTTCAGAATTTTACTCGCTATATCCAGCTGCAAGGGTTGGATTTCTCATTCGATTGACATAAAAACGGCGTTTTTACAAGGCGAAGATCTAAAGCGGGAAGTGCATCTAAAACCGCCTGTTGAAGCAGATGAACCACCCACTGTTTTGTGGAGGCTCAAAAAATGCGTTTACGGGCTCGTAGACGCTGCTAGACACTGGTACGAGAGAGTTAAAAGTGTCATTTTGAGTACAGGCTGTCAAGTTTCCGCTTTCGACCCGTCATTGTTCATTTACAAAGAAAACGGAGTTTTGCTGGGTTTAATAGCGACGCACGTGGATGATTTCTGGTGGTCAGGCACCCAGAATTTCGAAAATGCCGTTATCAGAAAGATTTCGTCGGATTTCGATGTGAGAAAGTCCGAAAAAGCTCCCTTCAAGTACCTAGGATTCGACGTTTCAGACGTCACATACGGTATCAAGATCGACCAGCAACAATATGCCTTGGAGATTGAACCCGTTGATGTTCCACATAAAGACGAATTTATGAGCAAACGACGTAAGAGACCATTACGGGCTCTTTTGGGGAAATTACAATGGTTAGCCATGCAGACTAGACCAGATTTGTGTTTCGATGTGAATAGAATTCTGTCCACTTCAAGTGAATGGTCACCGAACGATTTTGTAGCTGGAAATAAGCTTTTACGGCGAGTTCAAGCTACCTCAGACAAGTGTAACCTGACTTTTCTAGCTCTTGGGAATCTAGAACAGTGCAAAATTCTGGTTTATAGTGATGCTAGCTTCAATAACATAAATGGCACCGGAACTCAGGCTGGGTATCTCGTATTTTTGCAAGGGTCCAACGGCACAAGGGCACTTTTATCCTGGAAATCGCACAAACTAAGAAGGGTAGTACGTAGCACCCTTTGCGCAGAAACTATTGCTGCCATGAATGCTGCAGAAGCTGGTTTTCTTTGTTGTAAATTGGTGGAAGAGTTATTGTCTATTTCAGTACCTGTGTATTGCTTTACCGATAACCGTTCTCTTGTGGAGTCCGTATATTCGACCAAAATTCCCCAAGACAAGCGACTTCAGATAGAAATAACGTCTTTTCGTTCAATGATAGAAACGGGAGAAATCAGCAAACTCGAGTGGATTTCGACGAATATTCAGGTCGCTGATTGCCTTACGAAATCGTCTGGTTACGCTTCTGAAATGCTGATGAAGTTCATCCACAACAAGGCTATTTATTAGTGTTTATGTGAAACTTTCAATGTATGTGCTTGAACATGTCATTTTGACTGCATAATGTATTCATTTCTATGTGCTTTTGCGTGTTCTGTGCTATTTTCGTTAGTTGACCGTTTACGTGCTATATTCACTCCATAATGTATTCATTTCAACGTGCACTGCTCTGATTGGATCAACAGTGTTTCGCAATTTACAATGATTGCGTTTACAGCTTAATTGCTGTTTTAGCTACCGCTTTGTGCTTGTGTGTAATTACTCTGTTATTTAATTAATCGACACTATCGCCACTGAACTGCAGTAAAATTTCCTTTTCATTTAGTAACCCTCTGAATAAGGGGGATCTGTGATTCTGTAAATTTGTATTGTTTTCAGTTTGATGTGTTTGGCGGGGTTTTAATACAGTTCATCTTGTTACCTGTTTTACGACATCTTCAGTTGTGATTTGGCCCTGGAATAGGTTTCATTTTGGGTGAATTTTCTTTAAACATGTTTCGTTGTTTTTTATTTGACGAAGTTTTAAGATTTTTTTTTCAGTTTTTCGCGCAGCAACCAGCTATTCTTGCTAAGCGTGGATTGCCTGCCATCGAAGTAGGGCTGGAATTTTGCTCTTCAGCTCAAAAACAAAATTGATGGGAAAACGGATTTGCAAAGTGGGTTCAAATGATAATATTAACAGCAATAGCTGTTAGTATTAAATTTTGAATCCACTTTTTAACTCCGTTTTTTAATCAGTTTCGTTTTTGAAGTTAAATAGCAAAACTCATGGCTCCATTTAGATCGCAGGCAGTACACAAATATGATTTAAGCTTATATTTTTTCGTTGTGGGAAAAGTTAGATAATGTCTGTCTTTAAGGCTTTCAAACCATAAAAGATACGTTTTCATTGACGCTTCTATTTTCATCTTGACTGTTTTACTCATTCTGCGTTGAAAAAAGTAGTACGTAGCTGCAATTTAACTTTGTCAATACTTATGTTTAATTTTTTTTTGGGCTAGACTATTTTTCTCGGTTTTAGTCATCGGAGAACCCCTATCTCTGCATAGATTGGACGAAACCGAAAGAGGATATCGATGAAGAGGAGCCCATGAAAGAGACTAAAAACTGCGAAATACTGGAAAAAATACTAGTACTTCAAGGAGACGTGGCTCGATATCTTCTGGAAATAGACGATTCGGTTACTTACGAATCCTTTGCCAAAAGGTGCTACATGCAAGCTATGGCTGTGAATCCTAAATCTTCGCAATCTTTGTGCCAATTGGGAACTTTGATGTCCTCAAAAAACTTCAGAATCGATTCAATCTATTGGTACTTCAGAGCTCTACACGTTCATAGTGAGTGTTCAAAAGCCAAAATAAACTTGGATAGAATTTTGGCGAAAAATGTGAGGTTGTATAAAGAATCCTCAGCTATTAGTGTAGCGACAGCAATGCAGCCGCGAGATTATCTTGAGCTCCACTGTAAAAAGTTTTGCTCCTCGTTGATTTACGTTTTGGGATTAATCGCGTTCAAGAAAGAGGCGGAAATGCCGACTGATGTTGAAGTTTGTAGATGCTTTGAAAATACTTTGAGCGAGTTTTCTGAAATTAGTAAATTTATGTGGAGCGCTTTTCAATATACCCCCTACTTTCTAAACGACACAATTATTTTCAACTCTGTAATAATTTGTATTGTTACCGTAGGTTACCTAAAAAAGTTGAAATCTGGAAAGCTTGAAATTGTTCTCGGGTTTGTGCTTTGTTACTTTTCCAAGATAGTTCAACTTATGATTCTGCGGTTAGATTATTTCTTTAGTTCAGTGACGGCAAAAGCCGGAATTGCAAGTAAAAGTAACGATAAAAGTGGAGATAAAAACGCCTTGTTAGGTATGGTTAAATTAAGTTCAACTCTAAATGAAGGCGGGTCGAAAAAGTTCAAAAAACGAACACGACGAAGAAGGAGAGTTGCAAGAATGTCACCTGATGTTTTAAGTGAAGACGAAGATGAACTTAATACGCGACTGTCTAATTCAGACTCGAAAGAAGGAGAGAACGATTCAATGACGTCATCGAATGACGAGGCTTCTGATTGGTCGGGAGAAAATGATTCAGAATCGAGTGTTGGAAATAACGGCGATACTTCACAAACTGAAGTTCGAAATAAAGAATCAGAAGTTGAACTTAAAATGGAAAATGATTCGAAACCGGTTGAAATCTCAGATAAAAATCAAGTTCCAGCGGAATCGCCAGTATCGGAAACCGAGAAAAAATTGCCAAGTCTTCAAAATTTTGAAACAGCGAAGTCGTTGACTAGTATTAACGAAATTAAAATTCCTGTTGAGTCTTTAGTTCGGAATTTTCATCTTAGCGATTCAATAAAACAGCAGCTTGCTAAAGCTTTCGAAGATACAGAGTTTTTGGCTCCTTTGAAGGTCATAATTGATTGGCTGAAAGAAGATAATAACATCAAAAAACAACTACCAAAATTCTCATTGGTTCATTTTATAGTGGCTCTATCTAATAGAATTGATATCAAAAATCTCTTTGCACAAAATGATCTCCATATGTTCGAAGGGAAATATAAAACAACCCCATTGGTTGAAGATTATGCTCTGAGAAATGTCAATTTTCTCCCTAAAAGGTACAAAAATTTAAACTGGAACCATTCTGCAATATCAGAAAATGAAGAAACGTTTATGAGAGTAGCACTTATTTACGACTTCGTGGAACGAATAAGCAAAGATGATGATTTCGCAATTACTAAGGAACTTGCAACAGCTGAATTTGCATCAAGTCATGAAATAAGACATGATGAATATTCTCGATTTATTCTAAGCCTGGGCATTGATCTAAATGTGAAAGAACAATTGAGTCCAAGTTTGAGAGGAGAAGATTCAGAAAAAGAGAAAAGAAAGCTAAAAATGATGGAAAGTATGGGTCAACTTCGACTAAAATCCGAGGTTGAACGACTTAAAAAAGAAGTTGAACAAATTTCATCTAATTTACCATTCGTAATACCTGAAGCATATTGTTTCACAAATCGCTTAGACGCTATTCGAAAACTAGCTGAGTCGAAAAAAGTGATAATAATTGTCTCGAAAACTGCTTTAAATTGCTTAGACTCAATGAAAAAAGATCATCCAAGCGCAAGAGAAGCAATTAAGTTTCTAGAAAATGCACTTTCAGTTAGCAACACATGCGTTCGAGCGCAGAAAGACTACGAATATTCGCTCGTAGACTTGAGCTCGGTTAATTTCAACTGGAAAAGAAACAGAAAATTGGTGAGTCTTTGTGATATGCTATCGTGTGCGAACTATTTTGTGCAAGCTCCAACGTCAAGTGAAATCACAGAAGTAAAGCAAGCTACGATACTGTTTGAAAATCAACCGGATCCTTCAAATATGGGCATAATTCTGAGTAGTTTAGGCGCGGAAAGTCCGATTGGTTATGATATACTTGATCACTTTTGCAGAAAATTCTTTAATAAATGAATTGAAACTAACTGTTTGACTCCAATTTGATTTTAAAAAAATTGTGCTTTACAACGAGATTTTGAAAACTGTTGGACAAAAATTATATCGAATTTAGTTGAAACGTAGCCTTGATTTTTTTCTCTGCAAAACATGATGGCTTAATTAGGACGTAGGTAAGGTCTCTGTTAGAGATGTAACCAGAAATGTTTTTGCCGGAATTCCGCAACCGGAACTTTCAACTGCCGGAGTCAGGATTCCGGAACCGGATCCCTGAGTTCGTATATGGTGCTGATGAGTAACTGCACAATGCATATTTTTACTTTGGCTAGCTGTGCTTCACTGTGCTTTGTGCGCCAACGTCCTTTCCGTTAAACTTAACAGAGTAACTCTGTGGTGATCCGAAAGCATAGTTTTGCTCCATGATAACATGCTTCTTTTGAATCCATAATTCAAGTGTTTGAAAGTTTGTTCTTTTGTCGGAGATAGTAAAACCGTTCGGAAAATTCCGGAATTTTCCGTTTTTTTACCGAATTTCAGAATTAAGTCCGGCTGATACAACCTTTGCTAGCACAGAAAAATGACAAAAATTATCAAGGGCATCCATAGTGGTTTGATGTTACTGAGATCTGGCCAGTTGGTATGATGGTGCTTTCATTTATCGATAGAATCATCATTTGAAAAATATTTCAGTTCTGAAATGTCGGTCAAGTTACACCCGGGCGTCGACACTTGGGACTCGAGATTGACTCCATTACTCGACGATGAACAGAAACAACTCATAGCAGCCCTTGCTGCTTCGTCATATGAGAGACCCTACCCCTCTCACTTGCGGAATTCTGCCGACGACAAGCACCTCGAAATTGATGGTACCAATGAGTCGAATAAGGGGTCCAGATGCGATGACGGCTCGAATTCCGAGGAGCTGCAAGGGTTGTTTGATCTCAAGGAACCGGTGGAGTCGTTGCCGACGTTGGAGAAGTGGTTCAAAGGAGTTCAAGAGTCAATTTTAGACGAAAAGGAGATTCAGGTACTTGTGTGGTGCTTTGGAGTAACGAAGATTTGGTTAGGCATCAAAAAAACAGTAGTCGGATTAATTGAGAAGTTCAAAACGGCAGTCGAGAAAGGAACCATTATATACAGCAAAGGATCTAGGATTTCCTTGATTGGTTCGAAAATTTTGTCTGCTTCTAGATCGACAAAATTGATTTTCCGAGCTCCTAACACAGTATAATGACTCTTTAACTGCGTTACAAAATAAATTTGGGATTTTTTTGGCCTAGTAAATATTGCACCAAATAAATATTTTAACAAAAAAAGAAGATTACCAATTGTACATTTTGAAGTTCTTTTGCTTTTCATTTCTTTCATGTTGGGTTCATTGTTTTTAGCTTTCTGAAATCAAAGAAGACTGTTTCTCCAATCTTAAAATAATCGACTGTCTCTTGTCTGAAGTGAATCAGAGTCAAGATGACATGCAACAGTTGACGAGTATCTACAGTCAAGTGTCACACCAAACAAACGCTCTTCACACATCATGTGAGTGGCTGAAAAAATTTTCTTTTAAATTAGAACAGCCAATTTTGAACAGATGTCATGCATTACGCATACATCAAATGAATGGCCAAATTTTGTATAAGCTGTTCAAATTACAGCCCTGCCACTTATGCTAATATATCGCCAAAATTTAGCGCATATATATAGCGCATAAGAGCGTAGTGATTTGTCATTTTTAGGTGGCGTGGTTCTTCTGTTTTTTTTTGTTTCGGCCATTTAAAATGTGGACGAAATCTGTCGTCGGGTGTTTGTAGTTTTTTTAGCTGTGAAAAACTTAGTTTTATTCAAAGAAAAACAATTTTAGAAGCTTCATTTAGCGCTTCCTTGGTAGTAATTTTTTTTTGAAATCAAAAATGATTCTGCAAAAAAAAGAGAAAGTATTGGAAATATTTTTTTTTGAATTATTAATTTTTGTCATTTTCAAGAGTCGAAAAAAGTGAGGATTCTTATGTAGGTCGTGATGATTTTTTGCAGGAAATTAAAAAAATTTGATCATTCTCAAATGTGACTTTTCGCGGTTGACTTCTGATTTCTTTTTAAGCTCAGTTTAGTTCATTTGTTAAAAGGAAGGTAAACTCCATTATCAAACAGCAAACGTGTAAAGGTCACTAAAACGTGATTGACTTCTCATTTCAAGCGAAATAAAAAAAATTACCAAATGATCTCAAAGGGGTCAATTACAAATTGTTCTTGAAATTTAAATAGCTTAAAGACCATGTATTTTTTTTGGAATTCGCAAGTTGAAGTTTATTCTAAAAACAGGTCATTTTTTCTGTTTCCATGCGTTCATTGATTTTTTTCACGCTCAATGTTTTTGCGTGGTTTGAATTTTAAAGTTCAGTTCAAAGTTACGCTCAAATTACCAAAATTTTTCAACTGTCTAATGGCTTTGTTTTAATCATTCCTTTTTCGAATACAACTTGTCGATCATCCCTAATTAATAAACATTTTACGCGTTAGTATAGTTCTCGCATCACGGCGACCCACAAATAGCGCACCAATTTGAAAAAAGAAAGATTTTTTAGTAGTTTTTCCACGAATGTGGTGGGAAATTTCGGTGATACTTGCTCGGCAACTGGTTATTCCTTGAATTTTTTTGTATTTAAAAAAATGTTAATCACGCTCAATTTTTTGCAGGCTGATTTTCTGAAAGTTTAATTACGCTCCAATTACATAAGTCAGAGGCTAAAAAATATGAACATGAATTTAAAATTTCAAAAATTCTCAGCGGAATAAAAAAGTTACTGGGGTAATTTTTTGAAGAAGTTGGCATTCATGAAAGATTCTTGAGCTTCAACGGAGATAACGTGATAAAGTTTTTCCCCAAAATTCGAAGTTGAGAAAGTGTTCAAAAATAGTCATTAATGTATCATTAATAGTAATGTTTGGTGACACTGTTCAAAATGTGTGTTGGAAATCTTTTCAATGAATGATCAATGTTAGCCGAGTTTGCATGTTTTTACTTAAAAATGGATTCAGTGATTTCAAAGAATGATCTGAAAAGGAGCTCTGACTTCGAAAACAGAATTTGTTCACAGTTCTAATTGCTGTTAAATGAAAATTATCAATTTCTACAATTTAGGCGAGAAACTGCTGGAAGATGAATCTCAACTAATGAGTGGAGTATCGATGATTTCCGAGAAGCTGAACTCCTTCAATGAGTATGACAAGATTATGCAGAAATTGAACTCTCCCATATTTTCCCCGAAGTCGGGAGGGTTCAACAACTTGTTGCAGAGAATCGAAGAGTGTATAGATTATCTGAGCACAAATCCACAGTACAAGGTTAGAGAAAAATTTTCAAAGTTCTGAGTGGTTAGTGTTTGAAACTCTTTATCTCTAGGTCGCTGGTTTGAATCTCAGACCTTGCCAATTTTTTTTTCCTAATTCGTTCGAGGCTTATTTGTAATTTTTCTTATCGCACTTTAAAGAGCTGCTTTTTGACGTGTTCTCACTAGTGTTTGCGAAGCGCAGCTTCGCCTCTGTGTAAATGTCATGACGTTTTGCTGATGATTACACTGGTCTGCTATCATTTTCACTCAAGTTTTGTTTTTTTTTCTCAGAAAATTGTTATTTTGTTTAATTATGAATTAGAAATCAAGTTTAAGATTTCCTGAAAATCCATCTGAAATCATCTGTATCCTGTTTCATCTGAAGAAACTGATGCTGCTTTTGTTCTTCTTCTTGTTGCTGATCTTGATCTTCTTGTCCAAATTGTTGTTGTTGTTGATTTGGTTTTCTTATTTGTTGCTGTTGATCTTGTTCGTCTTGTTGATAGCCCTTTTCTCCTCGTTTGCAGAAGATTGAAATGCAGAAATGCTTTCTCTTCTGGAGTCCGACTGCCGACGTGTCATTGTTGTCGTAATAGACACTGGATCGACTCGAGACTGCTATCGAAAAAACCAAGATAGCTGCCAAAACTATGAGAACCTTAGACATGATTTATTCGCAATAAAAATCGCTTTGGAAAGAGTTGATTTTAAGGAAGGTTTATTGCGTTTGCCGATTGGTGGAAGATCAGTTGGAATGAAACATGTGTTTTTTCGACGCTCTTATAGTTGAAAGCTTGCGAATGTATACATCAAAATAAACAGTGACCCGAAAATATACTATTGTTAAAATATTGAAAGAATTGAAGTACTCAGTAAAATAGGCCTTTTCTTTACAAATCACACAGCAAACTTGCCCCTTTTCAGAAAGTTTTCTTTTGCTGTTATTGATTGATGATTGGGTTTCATTTTTCGCCGATAAACAAGTTAACGATTTTTCCTGATAAATCAATAAAAGCAAGAAGATCGGCTTAAGATAGTTAACTAGCAACCTCATTTATGAAACCTCTCCGATTCTTGAATCCATTAAGTGACCAAAATATCTCGTGTTTGAAAATGATCCATGGGTTTGAGATATGATTTAGTACATACTAGTTTTCACACAAAATCTTGCAAAATCTAAAAATCTCTGGAAAGAATTTTGCTAGTAAATGCTGATTTTTTCCATGAAGAAGAAATTTAAGAAAACTAATTATTATAATTGTTAATATAATTTTCTAGAGAAATATAATTTTTAAAAGCAAGTTAATTATCAATGTAGAGAGCTGATTTACGTGTTTGTTGGCATTTTGGTAGTCAATGCAGATTCTTTTTCATGAAGAAATTTCTTAAGTGTAATTATAATAATTTTTAATATGATTGTCTGGAGCAATATAATTTTTCTGGTATCATTAAAAGCAATTTTAGTTATCAATTTTTAACCTGGTTTGCGTGTTAATTGCAGGAGAGTTCGAACTACCTGATGCTGTACAAGAATTCCCATAGCAAAGCACTAGTGATGATGAAGAACTACTTCCAGTCTACATTAAACACAGCCGCCCAGCTGCAATCTCTCAACCCCCCACCTGCATCTAATAGTAGAGGAGCTCAGAGTGGTGTGGGCGGGGAGGGAGCTGGTCACTCTATGATATCAGGTAAAATGAATTCAGGAGTTTGCCAAAAAGTATCTTGAAAAAAATTAAAAACGAAAAGTTCATCTTAAATTAACGTACTCGTAAAAACTCGAGGGTAATGAGATAAACTCACGTAATTATTCTTGAGTTTTACTAAAAAATTTTTTACGTGCCTGAAAAAAACAAGAATTTTGGCTTTTAGAATTAACGTGGTTGTACAAAGGTTTCCAGGAGCAGCAGATTAAGTTGAATGAATGTTTTTGAGTCGGCGAGTTGATCGAGAAACAAAATGAGAAACGTGTATTGATTCTGAAAAAAAAAACGAATAGTAGTTATTGAATACTCAGCAAGCGGTGAAAAAAAATTAACGAGAACACATCTTCATCTGATTATTTAACTATACAGGATAGAATGGCTTAATCTGTTTCTTAGGGGACGGCCCAGATGTGTCTCCCTCATCCCTCCCCACCC